CATGTAAACACAAATCCTCTCCCTCGTCTTCTGTGACCATGTGCGAACTGCAATGTTGTGGAAAATATGAAAATCCAACGAGCCCTTAACGAATGTAAGTCTTTACTAACGACCTACTACCACTTACAATAGTCCATCCATCATTCTCCCAGTGCTGCAACTATACTTATCTATATCGACAGAACCAAGGAAGTATACAGAAGAGTCACCACTCAGAGACTTCGAAACTATAATGCAATGCTCAACACAATCACCAACAACCCACCAAGGCTCGAATCTCGCGTGCGAAATTTCAGTTTCTTCTTCCGATTGTAGAACAGCAAAAATTTGCTCCATTGCGGGGTTGCCCATTCGTAAAGCGGCAAATTGCTCCTCTGAAAAGTAGCAATTTGCTCAATAGTAGAAGGAGCAATTTATAGGTTTGCCCCTTCTTTGAGCAAAATTGCTCAATTTTGTTACATAGTAGCACTTCACATAGCGGCAACTTTTATATATTCTAGCAATATTCTGAAATATAAACGAGCAAACGATATTCATCCGAGCAGTTTCTGTTATACAAAACGGCAAATTTGCGTGTTTGTAAAGTGAATTTTGCTACTTTGCTCTTCTGTATATCAGCCATAGCGTTTTTACACACTAGCACAACAGCAAAAGCCGCAGGGAATATACATTCCAGCTAATTGGCACTTTTTTGCTATTTGCTCCTTTGCTATTTTGTAACTGAGCCGGCGCATTACCGTCCCTCGCTCGCCCTAACCGTTTCAGGTATACCGTCCCTCCCAGATGTTCTTCTCGGTCGAAAACTTGTGATTCCGTGCTTGACCAATCCCGAGGGGTTATTCTATGCATTCAGTTCTCATTTAGAGTCTCCCAGTACCGATGAGCATCTCTATCACTCCTCAACAGGTTCCTTCTACTATTACACAGACCACCGCTGGGGCTACATACTACTCTACTCAGCCGACAGTTGGCTCTACTTACTACACTAATCAACCTGCAACTACGTCCTCCGTTGTCCCGCCATCTGGTCCTATGATTGATGAGAAGATAGTCATGAAGCAGAAAGAGAAGGCTCTTCGAGAGTTGGAGTCTCGCGTGAAGCTTGCCTTGCAACAGCACGATCAGATGTATCAGCTCCAGAAGTCCCACATCAACGCCGATCATGACAGACAGATGGAATACACTAAGGGAACTATTGAGAAGGAGCGACAAGCTGCCCTTTTCGATCTCGAGGGCCAGTACCAGACTAACAACAGAGATTTAGAGCAGGCTGCAATTCAACAGCGCATGCAGATCGAGACTACCGCGATGCAGCTCGATATCCAGGCTCATCAACAGAAGATGGTTCAAGAGCATCAAGAGCGTGAGCGCAAGTGGACTGGTCAGGTCGCTGGTATCCCTCCTGCTGCATACCCTGGCGCTCCGGTTAGCTATCCTTACTACACAGCTCAGCAATCGGGTAACGTCATATACAGCACGATCCAACAACCCAGCACTGGTGCCTCTCCTGCTCCCCAGTGAGCTAGAAGCGTATGAGGGTGTTATTGTACGGTCGAAGAAGTCTTTGCTTGTTTCAGTAACTTGTCAAAGCGAGACCCACACATAACGTTCGATTTCAGCATGATATTGTTGGTTATGTGTTGAGAGTAGTTGGGAGGTGGCGATGGATCAGTT